CATACTTCGATGTCTGACAGCGTTTAGGGCAACAAATATCCGCAAACAACGATCAGGATTTCGACTAAGTCGATCAAATCTTCACTCTGCGTCAAGTCCTCGAGCTTCGCCATACACGCCGTCGATCAACGGTTTTCGTGTTCCTTGATCTTAAAGGAGCCTTCGATTCAGTTGAATGCGAAACTCCCTGCTTCCCAAAGGAATACCGCAGGAGTACGTAAACAGTGATTTCACTGTACTCGAATATTTCAGGTAACCTGAGGGTCTATAGTGAGCTGCATAGGTCGTTCGTAGCTATCAGCGGCGTTCGTCTGAGATGTCCTATTTCACCATTCCCGTTCAATTTCGTCATAGACGAAAGACAGAAAAATGCACTAAGTGGTCTCCAAAATGTTCATATTGCATGGGCAGCTGTAGAAAATCTGCCCTATCCAGAGTACGCGTGTTCGAATGCACGGAGGATGCACAAAGGGCAGTTGACAGATAAATAACAAGGTCTGTTGTTCCGTTCGGCATGCCCGTTGCACCTTCATAGTGCTAAGTGATACTGCAAGTCTGGGTTTCGACGAGTTCCGTTCTGAAATTAGACTGTCCGTAATTAGCTGCATTTGACTGCTTCTCGTACTTGAGTGGCTGCGTGAGCAACGACGGTAGCGCATCAAAGGAGTTAATCGAGCGCATTTCCAAGGCTCGAACATCGTACGCGGGACCTAAACACCTGTGGCGAGGACGTGATGTTTCACTGATGTTGAAAAGTTGCATATACTGCACAGTACGATCAGTTCTGCTTTACGGTTGTGAAACCTTGAATTTGCGGGTTGGAAACATTCGTCGCCTAATGAATTTCGACAATCAATGCTTGCGTAGTCTATTATATTATGTATATTTCACATTTTTCTGACGACAGACTGTGTGTTCTTTATGAAAAAGAAAACATTCCATGATTGGCTTGTGAGCTGAATACTGGCAGGTTGCCCAGGCCAAGGCAGGTGATTTTTCTTGAGCCTTCGGCTAGCTAAAGCCTAACCCGCAAGGCAGCGGGGTAGTGTGCGAAAACCGCAGTCCATTGGGAGCTGGTGTCCAGCTAATCGGATCCTACGCCCTTCGGACGGGGTCAAACGTCCAAGGTGGCCAACGGAGCCGGTGAGCACTGCCACAACCGGGAAGGTGTGGGTGTGGTTCGTACACCTCTTTGTTGGTTTGGAATCAGGATTTTCAGCTAGCTCCCCTTGGTGAACTACCAGTGATCCATCAACCCGGATGTCGGCTATTCTCGCACTTTCTTGGAAAACACTTCCGCCACGAGATGACAGTGAGTAGGGCTTCCTCAGTAGTGACCATTTGAGACGTTTTGTCTTACGGGAGTATTTCGTGAGGTGCAAGGAAAGGGTGACCCACCTCAACCCTAGACATCCACTCCCGACCATGCGGAGGCTTTCGGAGGTCAAGCAATGGGATCAGTGTGAAAGTTGTAAATCTGCGTTACATCTCAAGGGAAAAATTGTTCATCACATATACATGACTGGGCCTTGAGAATTCTAGAACACGTGCACGATAACTGATATGAGAAGATTCCAGAGCAGCGATGACCAATAAGAACGAACGGGTTGGGGGTTCACGCAACAGACCGTGCACTCTAGCACATTCTCCAAACTCTCTAGACCGTTCGATGTATTTTTACTTGTTGAATTCGGTTTCTCGTTGAAACAAGCTGATTTTCGTTCTTGACACGTACGGATTCATTTTCAGTGTTTCCACCGGCTCAATTACAGAACAAAGTGAATTAACCAGCAAAGTAATTGTTATCTGTTCTCCATACGCTGCACGTCTCACATTATCAAGAGTAGTCCGCGTGATTTTGTTGATGCGGAAGCTGTGAACTTGTTTTTTTGCTCTATTGAATCACCAAATCGTTCTTTTTGAGCTGTCCTTTATTCACGTTGTCGAATACCTCTTCCTCAGACGTTCCAACCAGTTAGCGTACTTTGGGCTAATTTCTCGAAATGCTGCCTGATATTCCGGGCTTCTTTCACACTTAAAAGCTGTATCATTATTTTTCAGCTGGTTTGGCTCCAGATCATTCACTCATGTTTCGCTGATCTTTAACTTTTAGTTTATGCCTAGGTTGTTTTCCCTCTGTTTCTGTTCCCTCGCTTTTCAAACAGTATAATTCCGACAGTAATATCCTGACTTATTTGATAAACCAGTGATAAATCTTTTCCCTTCAGGCTTCTTGTGCAGCCGCAAATCTTTTAAAAGAACCATTGTTAAACGATTGGCAATTTGCAGCTGCCGTAGATGTTGACAGTAGTGTCAAACGTTGCCACTCCTAAATCATTCGCCTTGCCCCAACATGCATTTCAGATTCCAGTCCTTGGACACAAAGTCGTGAGTATTAGCTATGCACCGGCTAGTGTATTTGACTGCTAACCAAACCACTGCTTATCCGGACTTTCGCGGTTTATTTCACTCGCGCTTTCAAGGTGGAATTCTTAGTATCTTTTCCTTAACATTTTTTCTTTTCAATAAAAGAAGTATTCCTGTATTACATCTGTCCTGTAAATTTGGGCACTCATCGTATTACTCCTGATGGAAGGCGATACACTGCAACTGTCAGTAGCGAAAATTTCTCTTTCCATTCAACCGATGTATTAGCGACACCGTCCCGTTTCAAAGATTACTTCGTACTTCCAACCGTTCGGGAAATCCCCAGTGTTTTAAACTTAGATCCGTTGAGGTAAGATCATCACTTGACCTCATCTTTTAACCAAATTGGTACATCCATAATGGAGAACGGAAAGAAAGCTTCCCTATCGCTCAGTTTAAGATGACGCGTAACCTAACGGGGGTCGTAGAGGATTCGACACCTCGAGTCCCGATTTACACTACTAAACGGCATGTTTTCGCGACTATGGGGTTCACCCTGGTGTTCAGTTCGTCGGATCATTTGCCCTTTGGACGGGGTCAGACATCCAAGGTGCCTAATGCATCTCCATACTCAATCGAGCCACGGCCACAACCGGGAGGGATTTGGTTTAGAATCAGGGTTTCTAGCCAACTCCACAGCTGAACTGCCAGTTTTTCACCAACCTGGTCATAGCACCGGATGTTGGCTATATTTTCATCCTCTCACTTTGGTGATAGTACACATCTGCTACAGGAAGTAAGTAAGCAAGACTTCCTCAGCAGAGGCTGTTTGAGACGCTTGGTCATATGGGAGCCCTTCGCGAGGTGCAAAGGAAGAGTGGCCAACCACAACCCGAGACATCTACGCCCGACCATACTGAGGCTTTCGGTGGGTAATGAAAATACGGTTAGTTGTGGCAGTGTGGTGGTGTAATTGTTTAGTCGCTGTCACTGGGGTTGTGTAGAAAACACCTGATCGTTCGTGCTGTTCGACTCGATCATTGCTGTTGAAGAGAGACAGTCTCACAGTTGCTACTGGTTTATGGGCTACCTTGATTCCTAACGGTCGGATTATACGCTCGGTGACTTCGGACGTGCCGCGTATGTAGGGTAACTTTATCCAACTTCCCTGTTTTGTGTATGGTTTGTTCTTGACCCCTGATGCACACGTTGATAATGCTCCTGGGATATGCGTTAGATAAGAACAGTTGAAAGAGTCGACTTCTTCCTCTTGTCCTTAGCCCCGGTGTGCTGCAATGTGTGTTCGCACACAACTTTTCAGGTGGCAAAAGGAATGGTTGCCATTGCAACTGAGGATACGATCTGTCGTGGTCGATTGACGGTAGAGTGTGGTCTCTATTCATCCGTCAGGTTGTCTCATGAGAAGGTTTCCGTGATTGAACAGCAGGCCGTGACTATGGGGGCACACAAATTTATAGACAAGGGATTCGCCTGCACTCATCGTATTCTGATGTAACGTCTCTAATTTAAATGTTCTATGCAAGTTTCGTGGTTCTATACGTAACTCATTCCAACGAGCAAAAATAGAGGAATGGAACGGAATTCTGCTGATTTCTTAAGGTACGAGTTCCTTGTTACCCACATCTTGAATTTATATCGTGCATGACGATCTATGTTCAATGAAGACGTGAGTGTACATTGAGAAGCGTTTTGCAAATACAAGCACAACACATTCCAGGGATTTTAATGACGAAGTGACACTTCAAAATCTATGTAGAGACAGAAAGATCGTGTCGCCGCCACTATATCCGACACTCCTTGAAGTATTGTTTGCTGTGCTTTAGTTCGTAACATTTTATTTTACAAATTTATTTTCGGCCCTTCTTTGAAGAAACTGGATAACTTTCTGTTTGATTCCCATTGACTCTGAGTTCCCCCGAAAAAGTTCGATTGCTAGTATCGGGTATGCGTATTCTACCGGAAACTGTGTAGTACCACAGTTTCTCTGATAGTTCGAATCTATGCTATACACTTTTTATCCCCCACCCTCTCTCTGTATAATGGTGTAACGGAAGTTAGTAGCAGTGTTTTATCCTCTTTTTAAGGCAGCTTTGTTGTTTGTTGTGTATGCGTGAACTGTGTAACTCACTGATGGTTTCAGCCGCACACTGCCTCGCCCTAGTGACTTGCGGAGTCGTATTCGGAACACGGGTCGTACTGTTTAAAGAATAATGATGAAATATTTTCGAACTTCACAGTTAAAATTCCAGGGTCAGTAAAGCATTCGATGCTGATCGAAATACATGTGAAACAAGATCGAATGTCGTGTACAAGAACCTCGCGCGGAACGCATTGGAAAAAATGGAGGGTCATGGTNAGATCGGTCAGGATAAAAAACACACGATCTGGGTGATGCGTGATAGTAATTGGGCCATGCGGCGGATCATTTGAAAAATGCCTGTAATTTATTGAGGTGATATCAAGTCAAGTTATGCTTTATGCATCCAATAGGATGAGTTTTCAGCACTAAGAATGGAGAATATAGGTGCTGAATATACGAGTAAACAAATGATTTGACGGAAATATGGAGTAATACGAGTTTGAAAAACGCGGTTCCTTAGCGAGAACGGTTCATGCAAGCAAATTTAGCTATAGGTGAGATTTGCTTATTGCTTTGCTCTCCCAGGCGGTTACTTCTTCCAAATTTTAAAATATTCAAATGGTGATAGATGCTCATCTCAGATCAAATAATCCCTAATGTTTGATAATTGTGATTTTATTGGCAACCGTCAGCAAGTAGTTTCACATTTGCATTTTTCTCTCAACGCTGCAGGTTCCGTGCTTTTGCTTCTGCTCAATTGCCTGATTGCACCATTTCTTCAGCGTTTCATTAAGCCTGTCATTGGCCTGTTTGCACTTATTCATCCCAAAATTCTGTCTAAGTGATTAGCCCTTATCGTTCACTAATTTTTAGTCATCCTTCACAATTCCGGACCAGGACCGCCAACGTCCCCGAGCAAGACCATGACGACCAGCGGGCGCTTGACCCACCGCGATAGTGAGGTGCGAAAGGAGAAGAAAATTGGACATCGGCGAGTAACCGAAGAAGGCACCGTTACCTATAAAAAGGTTAGTTCTTTTGATGGTTGTTTAAACTAAAACTGAAACTCTTTTGATCTACTCAATTATCGCATGGTCTTCCACGGCACAGAAACACGTACGGTATAATAATATTTCTCCTGGAAAGTTCCTCTTTCTTATCTATGGAATTTCAAAAAATCAAGTCATTATGTGCTTAGAGGATTACCGATCATCGCTAATACCCTCTCATACGTTTGATTCATGCTTGACCGATTCACATTCTTCTATCCAAACAGGTTCATTTTTAATGGACATGAAAAATGGTTTTTTAGCCGATGATCATCTAACCTAGGAGATCGGTAGAGGCAAACCACAGAGAATGTGTAATCACCAAGACCTCTGGTAGTATTACAATTAGTTGGTTATTCAATGACAAATAGAACAGTCTTCCTTTTGGACTGATTCATTAGCTATAGAACGCATCTGGTGTCATAAAATTCCAACCAGACGGAGTTGGTGATGAAATGGATCGCAATTTCATTCACTGAAGCGTATAAACGAATGGCTTTCATCAAGTTACGCACGAGTCTTTTTCTTCAAGAGTGACTAATGGAGAGCTTACATACGACCATTTTGTGAGCGAGTAGAGCAGAGTTGCGTGAATTCGTTCGGTGGGTACAACTCGTGCCGTTCAACTAGTAGTCACGTGTCGACGATGAAGGTGAATTTACAAAACAGACAAATGATAATGCCAGAGCTCACAAACAACAGTGTCTAAGGTGTAACTGAATGCCATGCATTTATTCTTCCGTTCCGTTAGTTATTCCAGAGCATACTTACCAAACTATAAATAAGTTAAATAGACGCTTAAAAGAAAAGCTTCCCATTTCACTTCTTCATAAATTCCACATATTGCGCCAAGGATATCGATTTCCGGACTACTGTGCACCGTTATGCATGTACTGTTTAGTTCGAATGCTTTGTTTTCTTCCCGCTGATTCCACTTCTGCGCATTTTTCATTCTCTAGAAACCTACTTCTGAGATCCAACGAGCTTTACAGCTGGGGATTCATCATCATATTGGTTCGGTCCAGCAAAAACCGTTGCGTGATGTACTGTTCCGGGATTTTCAAACCATAGAAACCGTCCAGTTCCCCGCCTCGGGCACAAAAACCACCCCAGCTCATTCGTTATCGGATTTTCGTTTCCGAACGTACGCACCAATTGCTTTTCGCAACTTTCGGAATCGATACAAACTGGACATAACCGATTTTCTGGTACGCCGGTTGAACTGCTTTTGTCAATTGGCTAATCTGTTTTTATCATTGAATTTTAATTTAGAAAAGAAAAAAATCTAACGCTTCCTTAAACAGAATTTCCATTTACAAATTGTACACCGGTTTTTCATAGTTGTTCTGTCTAATTCAGTTTGATTGATTGTAACAAAATTAGCTGTCTTACAATGACTGACTGATATCCCTGAACCGGTTTGGTTGTCATTCCGGAGCGAGTTGTAACCTATAAATCTGTCTAGTTAATAGATGAAACGGAAGCTATGCAGTCGATTTTCACGTTTCTAATTTATCGCTCCAACTGAAACGTAACGGTGTGCTGGTCTACAATTTATTGCATTTGTGTCGTATCCTTTTTTATTGCCTGAGCGAAATGAAACAAAACGTCAAATTCCCAAACGTAACGAGTTTAGGCAGTACACAATTCGGTCCTTCATAGTGATACTCACAAGGATCGGATTGGGCAATCAGTCGATGATAAGAATGCTTTTACCATGACAAGTTCTTTCTATCATTCACCCGGTGTAAAATCCGAACAAAAAGAATATTCGAATTGAGCAGATTCCGCGGACGTGATCGTTCGTGTATCTGTTTCTTTTTTCTCGCACAACGGATTTTATTATTCCCAATTGCAGTTCATTCAACTCGCACTGTTTCACATCAACACTCGTTTGATGGTTGTCCTTCACCTGGTAAGATCGATGACACACCTGTCACTTGAAACTCTTCACGAAAGTCTACTTGTGTTGACTGTTCTGTACGGGGAGGAGGTGGAGGGTTATGCTGCAGTTGTTGTACGTGCATTCCATCGGAGGTTCGTGTCTTCGATACGGATACCAGTTGCATTTGTCAGTTTTGTCCACACTGCTTGCCGTGTTACCTGTCAGACAGACACTGGAGTTTTCCAAATACGATGATCAAATTTGGCGAAATATGCGTCATTTTTAGGACAAATAAAACTCGGGTACTTAATTGTTTTGTGAAATAGCATCGCCGTTTGCATGCGCGTTCGCATTGTGGATACGGGATTATTGAATACGGGGATTAAACGCCTATCGATCGTGTGCCACATTGGTTCAACAGTGAATAACACACGATCGCGCTCACACAAACTGCGATTTGGTTAGCCGAATTGGGTTTTCACAGTGAAGGAAAAAACATCACGGTGTCCCACTCGTTCAGTGTAGATCAATTATTGGTCGAGGTTGTTATCGTTGTGCTCAATTATGTGCGACTCGACAGTCGGGAGAACAGCAGTCATTCTTGGTGAGCATTTGTGTGACTTGCGAGTATGACTGGGA